AAATAAATAAATAAATAAATAAATAAATAAATAAATAAATAAATAAATAATAACAAAATAAAATAAGGTGACATCTAAAGCAGAGTAAGGAGATTTCCTGTTATTGCTTTAATGGTTCCCAGGCAACATTTCCTCTTGCTTTCAGACCAGCAGAAATGATCAGAAAATGATGAGAGTTTTTCTCACAGATGAAATTTAGATTTTTGCATTTGTGCTGTTTTATGAGCTGAAACTATTTTAAGAGCCAATTTATGGTTTTCTCTACTAAAATTGGATTTTAAAAAAATAAGCAAGGAAGTTCAGCAATTAGAGGATACCATTAGTGGCTTGCCCTAAGGCAATATTCTGTGTTTACCATTTTCTTTTTAAAAAGTTTGTCTTAATTTGATATCTCTTAGCATCATCCCATTTTATCAAGCAAGAGCCAAAGGGAACCACCATCGCAAGGCTAGATGGGAGTTTCCCAAATGTTCGCTGAGGGCATGCTTTAAGGCTAGATGGCTTCCAGAAGATCTTGTTCATCTCAGATCTCTTTGTTCCTCGTGAAAGAACTGCCCTTTAAGCATTCCCCACATCTAAACAAACCTTCAGGAACATAGCTGTCCCCTCTCTTCTTTCCTCCTAGAGCAGTTCTCAACCTGTGGGTTGTGGGCATCAGAAAACACACATTTCCAGTGCTCTTAGGACCCCTGCCACACACACACACACCATAAATGTATTTTGCTACTAAATGGTGTTCATTTCCCAAGCCCGAAGTTCACCACCCACAGATTGAGAACTGGAATGTCTCATTAGGAAAGCCATCCCGAAATCTCACCAGAACCGTCTGTCCTACTCAGTCCTGACCAATGACTCCTGAAATGGCTATGCAAAACTGCCTCACAGGGACCTCCCTTCTATCTCCATACTGCCTAGAGTAACCGCCCACTACTTCCAGGCCAGGAGGAAACTGTCCTTCCTGAAGAGAACAGAACTAATTCTCCGCATCCATCTCAGCTCACTGAGAGTCAGGCTTTATGCTGAGGGTTGCATTTGTCTTCTGAGAAATAAAGCTACACCATTCCTACAGGAACCTACTGGCATCGATTTGCCCCTGCTAGATCCTGCGAGCACCATCACCACTGTCACAGGACCAAGTGCGTTCAGCATCCCTCTCCCTATCCGGCAGAAGCTATGCAGCAGCCTGGATGCTCCCCAGACAAGAGGCCATGACTGGAGGATGCTGGCCCATAAACTCAACCTGGATAGGTGAGTGTGCCCAGGGTTCTGGGCCTATTGCTTTCATCTAGCAGAGGTCTCCAGGGCTGAAAAGAGAGCAGCATTCTTTTTCTTTTCATTCTTACATTTTTTTCATTTTCATGAAAGCATGTATTCAGCTCCTATATACCTGGGTACCATAAGCTCCCAAACAGAGCCAAGAGAAGTTCTGGGTGATGAGATATTTATCAGTATCAAGATTTGTGATCTGCTTTGTCTAGCTCATGTGCTAAGCATGCCTAAGTATCATGTCCATTCACTAAAATAATTATTGTTCATCGCCAGTTGGGCAGAACGTAATGCGTAATGAATAATTTACATGCTCACACAGCACTTGTATTAAGTTACGAAGAGACCCTGAGAGCCACTGCTTTGGAGAATGTAGCTGTCACCTCCAAAGAAGAGATGTGGCACGACCTGTCAAAGATCATCAGAGCCTGGGCTGGACAGAAAACATAAGCCTCTTGATTTCCTGTTTAGGACAAAACCCACAGACACATTGTCTCTTAAATTATCCTATTCAGAGTTGAGGTTAACAAAGTTAAGCAGCACATGTCCTGTCTGGGGCTGATCTAATTAGGAACACAGCAATCATTTAGTGAGCCCCGCTATAATCCACAGTGGGACTGAAATACTTCGGGACAGACAGCTTCAGCGCAGAAGTGGAGGAGAAAATGATACTGTAAATAGACCTGTAAATCACACCTTTTAGCATACTTTCCCATTCGCAATTGCAGGTACTTGAATTACTTTGCCACCAAATCGAGCCCAACTGGCGTAATCCTGGATCTTTGGGAAGCACAAAACTTCCCAGATGGAAACCTGAGCATGCTGGCAGCTGTCCTGGAAGAGATGGGAAGACATGAAACAGTAGTGTCCTTAGCGGCAGAAGGGCAGTATTGACCACACTGGAACTGAAACTGAAGGACAAAATTACACAGGGAGTCTGTGTCCAGGGGAAACGCAACTGAGGAGGAAATCCAGATGAGACCAAGGCGTTCTACAGGCAAGATGGCTACAGGAATGGCTGGGGACAGACACAACCACCGAGGTACACGCCCACTTCATTCAGACAGCACCGCCACAGGAGTTGAGAAAAATTGTGTAAATTTGTACCTTGAATTTAGAAATCAATCTAATTTTCTCTTTGTTGGGCTGTATGCTGTACGGTACAGGATCTTACAGTTTCCTAGGAAACGCTTTTTATTGCTATCCAGATGTATGGATAAACTTTCTTAACAAACCCAGTTTCTACAAACGTTGTTTACATCAAATTGGACAGGGATGCAGATGCTATCCATGGCTCGTTCTATTTTTGTTCAGATCATTTGGAGTTGAAGCTGTGGACAGTTTATTGTGTCTATTCCAGATTAGTAATTTCCAGAGAAATCACAGACTTTTGCTACAAACCATGTACATCCAGTGTCTCAGATGATCCTCCCATCAGTGTTCTGTCTCTGAAACTTGTCAGACCAGTGTTGGCATTTCTATCAGGGAAGAGGAGATTCTATATGTAAAGGAGAAATGACTTAGGTTGCCATGGGGGAACCCTGTTGGGATCCTTTGGGAACAGGGCTGTAGCATTACAGGGAAGATAGTGACTCATGTTCCTCCCACAAACATTTCTGTATCACATGTGTGTTTGTAATATGCAATTTCAAGTGTTTTTTAAGCATATTATCGTTATTATTGATGATTATTACGAAGACTCTAGTAAAAAAAAAAAAAAAATTTCTTTTGTTTTAGTTAGCAGTACTGTTAGTATTTGGTATTGACTAGACCAGCCTCCCTTTTCTTATGTAAAGAGGTGGGCGTGGTCACCAGTTTAGTTCAATAGCTTTTACTTCCTTGACCTTTGATCTGCCATTCTATGGTGGACAAGATTGAAATGCTCACTCACTGGCTTGCTCAGCTTGCTCAGGCAGTCTTCTGGGTTCTGGCTTTTATCCTGAGGAGGGTTCTCGGTGTGTAAAGTTCATTTAATCTTGTGGCTGTCTATCTGAGAAGCAGTGTGGTTGTGGGCAAGAGTTTCTGAACTAGGAATCAGGAAACCAGTTATCATTTGGGAGTTGGTCACTGTCAGGCTGCGTGAACTTGGGGGAAAACACTGAAACTCAGTGGAGCTCATTTTCCTTATCTGTAAACTATGGGATGAGATCAGATTACCCCACAGTTCCAGGATACTGAGCTCCCATTGAAATGTCATCATCCTTTCTCATCTTTCAGGCAGTACTGACTTGAAAGGGGATTACTTCAATACACATTTATTTGTTTGGCTGTGGCACTGTATCATTGTTGCATGATGTTGCTCACTGAAAGATGGCATCCTTTTATTATCATTGTCTTGTTCTCTGGTAGGGACCTATCCTCTAGCCCTACCCTCCAGCCTTCCACCTAGATGTAAATTCTACTTTACTCATTTATTGATCCCTGGATCTCAAGACCATTTCTACAAAAAGCCAGTGCAGCTGAAGGAATTGGTACTACTTTTCTTTCTTCACTAATCTTTGCTTTAATAATATTGAGTTGTATTTACAGCATTTAATTAGCTCTTTTATCCTACAAAATGTTAGTTGTGCAAACTATGTATGAGTTTTCCTTGGGACTGTCATGGTTTGTTTTGATATAGAAACTCCCATTTAGCAGGTGGGATAATTAAAAAACTTACCATCCCCAAAGTCAAAAATAATTAGAAAGCACCCATGTGCTTAACCAGAGCCTTCAAAATAGGACCGTGGTTTACTTTTGGGCTAGAAGTATCAAGATTGCTGAGTGGATTCCAGTTAGAAATCATTTTGGTCATTTCCCCTTCAAGTTCTGTCACTGACATTTTCTGACTCTTCCATCTTAGTCATTGAGGAACTGTGGATATGGTTGTTGTGGCTTATCCCTCATGCTGTTTATCTTCTCTTTCAGATATGTATTCTACAGTCTCTTTCTCTAACCTTCAGAACATTCAGAAATAACAATACTGGTCCCCCTGATGGCAGAAAAGGAATTATGTACTACCAAAAATAATGCAGTGGCTGATGTCTATAACAATGAGTTTGATCTTTTAAGAGTTTAGATATTCTTAAAAAGCAAGAGGAAGAAAGAATTGTCCATTGCTGCCTCTTGAAACAAATGTCAAAGTTTCTCTTCATTTCTGGTATTTTGGAATCATCGTAGAAATCAAAGCCTAGAGATTTGGACTAGATGTTCTGTGTAACAGTGCTTTGTGCTAAGTAGAGAGGAACAAATATTTTACCATTCTAGTTAAATTTATCCTAAAAACTGGTTAAGTCACCAACAGAGAAACGATGACTATAACCAGAGCAACATTACTGAAGCTTTTGAGAGTCCTCATGTTCAAGCATCTAGAGATACTTACTTTTTATTCAGTCTCTCACAACAGAAAGAGGAAGAATGACTGATCTCTTGTGAGGTACTCATTTGTCATAAAACTACTGTCTTTCACGTGAATGACAGTTTCCAAACTAGAACATGCCATACAGCAACTAATTTTCACTTAAAAAAAAAAAAAATCTGCTTTTTCTCCTTGGGAGGAAAGTTAGAGTTGTTAGATCGCTGCTTTCCAACACACGAGGTTCTCCTGCCACAGTTCATTTCCGACAGAGCTCTGTCATCTCCTCTGTGGCAAGTCAGACTTTTACACAGCTTCTGAGGAAAGCCTTGCTTGCTGCCGGTGGGTAGACTCACTAATCATGTGTGCATGGCGCCATCTAGTGGCCGGCCCCATGGTTACTCACTTTCATATACAGCTCACTGAAAGTTGACAAAGTACCTGTAGAGTTTGACTACACATTGGTGACAAATGGCCATGGGGACATTTCCCCTTTGAGGGTTTTATTCTCTCGTTCTCATATCTGTTCAGTTAAGTCATCCATTTAAAAAATGTATGAGTACAGTATATATCGTCAGCTTGCTCACACACATCCTTTGTTACTTTCTTGTGACAGACATATGACATCTCTATAAAAGTCTCTGAAAGTTGTCATTTTTATTTATGAATTCCATTGGGCTTTGCGTATTTAAAATCTTTTAATTCCAGAATACTAACTTTTAGAAAAAAAATAAATTGTATTCACAAAGAAGAAAGTGTCCCCTGCCTTACACATACACACACACACACATACACAAACACATGGCAACTCCCTGGGTGTTTTGTTATTTAATGTTTGAGATACATTCTTGCTAGGTATCCCAGGAAGGATACATGATCATCTTTCCACAGTGTCTCAAGTGATGAGCCTTTAAGCACTAAGGTACCATTCTACCTGCTTAAACAAACTCTGTATTTGTAAATGAGAACCCTGTGTCTATGGAAAGGGAAGTTGTGATTGCTGATCAAGAAGAGCAGTCTTCAGGGGAAGATGATCTTCTGAGAACAGGACTTGAGGGGCAAAGGCTTCGTGTTCTCTTTTTCTTCTCATGACATTAATTCAAATTGACTTGATAGTTGAGTACATGATGACAAGCATGTGTCAAGAAACTCTTGGTCAAACATCTTCAAAAGCAGACTCACTGCTTCTGCCATACAAAAAAAAACCATCTTCACCTGAGCCAATTAATCTCTTCAAGGAAAGGATAATTTTGGAGTTGAGACGTCTGGGATCAAAGTGTATCATTAGCCACTTTCATATATGCTATAATTCTATAGATTTTAATTATTCCACTATCAGAGTAGAGACATTCCTTAGGGAAAAGTCTCAATGAGTATATTTAGAACCCTCTAGAAACTAGGTACTTTAAAACTAGGTTTTAAAGACATTTCTCTTGAAAGTGTTTGAAAAGGACTCATTCAGAGGGTGGGATCCAGACAGTTCTCTTCTGGAGAAGAACAGGCACTTGTCTTACAGCTCTATGTGTTTCTGTTGAAGACATGGCAGCTGCTCCAGGGTCACTCACACCTCCATAGCCGCAGGACAAAGGGAGCTTACAGAACCCATAGAGAGGTAACCCATCCAGGTGGAGGTGCTGGTGCAAATTCAAGGCCAGTGGCAGAGAGGCCGAACACAGAAACAAGGTGTGGGTGGAGTTAGGCTTGAGATGTCTTTGAGACGCTTTGTAAATCAAAACATCACTATTCACATCAGTTTTGTAAAGATGATAATGACCAATGAGCATCTTATTTTATAGATCCAAAAGGAAAAATATTTTTATTATTATCTCAAGATAATAAAACTGGTTTTGCCTTCTGAGTGCCTCGTGGGACCAACTATCTTACTCCTTTAGTTTTGTATTGTTTTTGTATTTTCAAAGCAGACTGAGCTGACGTTGACTGCAAACTTTATAACTCTCCCTCTGTGCAACAAAATACTGTTTCTCTGTCCCCCCAAGAGATCAGATTGTGTCACCTCTGCTTATACTGACCACTTTGACAGGTCCCTGATAATTTTTTTTTTTATGGACTCGGGACTATGGGAAATACACACGTTGTAACCAATGCTAAGTTGAGATTAAATAAGCCACATGAAGTCATAAATGTTTCTAAAAAGCTGACTTGTAAGCTCATTTTTCTTCAGAGTGGAGAAGGCCTGCATGTGGTCGGAGTATCTCTTCAAATGAACAGTGCAGTCATAGATCCTTTAGTCCTTTTAGCCAAATGGTTGCCCTTTTTTTGTTGTTTTTCTTTTCTGAAAACTTACTGTAATGGTCTTCAGAAAGTCCAGTGGGCTTGGTTGCTTCCCCTATTAATCTGTGGTAAGATCTCAACAGGCTCATTCAACCAAAGTTTATATTCCGCCAGAGGCCTAGTTAAGTGTGGCCGGTGTGGCATCCTCAGACAAATCGACACACTCCGTGGACATGCTAGCAGGCAAAGCCAATGAAAGGTAAGAGGCTACCTGCAAGACTTCAGTATGTTCGACTATCTATGAAGCCATCTGTCCCAAGAATTTCCAGAACCCTAAACTGGAAGTCCCTGCCATGTATCAGGACAGTCGTGGCCCAAACCACTAGTTGTTAAGCAGAAAAATCAAGGAGTGTCCTGAGATACCAGCTGTCTACCAGCTATGGTATACCAGCTCTTTACATACCATCTGGGAACTTGTGCTATGGCAGAATTTCAAATTGCAGGTAATAGTGCCGTAAGACCCATTTTAAGTAAGTCTAAACCTCGTATCATGTTTATATGCCAAAGGCCTAATGCGACATAGCCTGATGACACCCAGCAGTGGTGACTGTGAACTGTGGGCTGGTTATATCCATCAGCAGCCAAAGGGGTGATGAGCTTTCAGCCTTTGATCCTCACTCAGCACTGTGATGTGACAGCATCAAAGCATCATTATGAGTTTTATGCTGTATGTTAGACCAGTTTTAAGACAGCACACAGACAAGACTCCACAGCCAGTAGAAAATGCCTTTGCTGTTCTGTGTCATCAGTGGCACCTCTACCTGGGCACGTATGGACTCAGATACATTTTTATCCAGATCTTGGAGGAAAGAAGCCAGTTGAACACATGACTTGCATTCCCTCTTTCTCACATTTTCCTAAGCCTACTATGGGTACTGATGCTCTCACCCTCCAGACAATGTATTTCGCCAAGTTGCAGGGAATATCATTGCTGTGTATGTGCACTGTACATGTGTGTTGGATGTCACAGTGTTGTATGTATTGAGCTTAATGCTGGGCTGTAAGGAGCTAGTAATCTTCCTCTTTGTTGTAAAGAAGAAAATCAATATTCATCAGAGAACAATTCCCAGTTTTCTGCAAAAGAGGGGATGGGTCACCCTCCCCTGTCTTCTTTGGACCAGCTCAACCTCAGACGTATCAGGTTGAAATTTGATGCTTTGTCAGTTTTTCTTTTTTTAGCAAAACAACGCAACCTTGACTTCTCCCATATGGAACACTTCTTTCTTTGTTATGGAATTCTGTCTTGCTGTATCTTCTATGCAATTCCTTTTCTAATGACCCCTGGTGGTAGAAGAGTGCTCTCCAGCATTCTGCTCATCGCCTTGCTGTGTGGTGGAGGTGAGGGATGCCAGCTTTGGGTGTGCCTCTTTTCTCTCCCTGGTTGCCTCACCCAATTTTCCTGCAGTCCCCTTAGTTTGTAAATTGCCTGCATTTATTCTGTCAGCCAACATGTACAAATGTAAGAAAGAATTTTTAAACAGGTAATAAATTATATTTATAAGCAACACAGGGTGCAGGCTCTGTTTCTTTATAACAGACATGTTTTGTGTCGGGAAGTTACTGTGGATTTATTCAGTAAGATGGAACCCTTTGGATCTTGTATGAATGGTGATCAGCCTTTCTAAATGGGATGGTGACATTCTAGAAGGATGTTTCTCCAGCACCATTACACATAACAATCTCTGGGCCAATGTCTTGAGCCACCTCTAGAGACTCTGCTTTCCATGGTCTGGATGCAGCTTTGAAAGTGTCAAAAAGCTTGTAGGTGATACCAGTAAGCAGTTAATACTGCCAGCATCTTCCAGCACCAGCAGCAACATTTTATGGAACAGATTATAAGCATGTCTATGCTCTACACTCAAAGATCTGGTCTCAAGTGGAGTTTGTAAATAACCACAACAACAGGAGAGAAAAGGCAAACCCCATCACCCAGCCCAGAGCTGTCATGAATCCCAGAAGACATGTCTGCCTTATTACAGGAACCCAGGTACTCAGGTGAGCAAGCAGAAAGTCTCCAGGCTTGAGGTGGAAAGCAGCTATGTCACTGGAGAGGAAGGGCTAGGTAAGCTCATTCCTCAATGACAAGCTGACTTGGAGAAGTACTGTAGACTGATTGCCCCTGACCTTTTCATTTATCATGCCTAACCAAAAACGGTCAGCCACTGCACTAATGAAGAGAACATTCTCCTTTCAGGAGCTACACAATGGTGACAAACTGAAGTATTTATTCAGGGTTAGATAAAGAAGTAATGAAAATATGTAAAGGGACCTTGCATACATAGATGAGATGTCTGTGGATAGAATGAAAATTTGATTAAGAAGCAAATAAAAACAGTTAGTCACAAAGAAAATACAACACATGTTCCCTAATATGGGTTAGCCACAGCCTCTGACCTTCCTTTGAGCTTCAATAGCTGGACATTCCACAGATATTGCCACCACACTTTGGAGAATATGCAAATGTTCTCAAGGTCAAATTGGTGAGCCATCACCCCTAAAAGCCTGCCTATGAGGTCGTTAAGGGTTCAGAGATTAACCTTACCCTGAATCCATTCCTCACTGTCAAGGTATAGTACCAGGTAAAGAGTCTTCCTCAATCTTAGAGACCTTCCAACTGGTTAAAAATCAGAAACTTGAGTAGGAATTACATCTCTTAGAGTTCCCCTGAATGAGGTGGCTCACAACCATCTATAATGGGATTCAATGTCCTCTTCTGACATGCAGGTGTATGTTCGGATAGGGTACTCATACACCAAATAAATAAATAAGTCTTTGAAAAAAATACAAGCAATCAAACAAGGGCCACCATAAACCCATAGTAAGAGCTGATGGAATAAGCTGGGCACCTACCGTAGGCTCAGTACACACTTCATCTTCCCCAACACTGCACGCATCGTCTGTTACCGTCAGGCTCACCTTCAAGGGGAAGAAACAGACTTAAAAGTCCAGACCACACCTTAACATCCCAGCAAGGACAGAGGAGTGTACCTTGGCCATCATGGAGCTCTGGCGTCTGGTGCTCCACATTCAGTGTGAAGAACCTCTATGGTCCTCAGCACTGTGCACAACCAGCTGGCTGTTCTCCAAGTAGGCTGGAATTTCTCACACTGCAACTTCACACTCTCTTCGTTTCTCTCAAGCCACCAACTACCCACCTCCCACCAGAAGACTATGTTTCCTAAACAGAGATGGTGGAGGACGCCAGTCCATTCTCACCCTTATGCCGCACAGTGCACATGCATACTTAGTCTGCTCCTTCAAGGCTGCCTTTCCATCTGCAGCCATGAGGTCATTGCAAGGACAAAGAAAAGGTACAACTATGCGATAACAGAGTTTTTCTATGGAGAGGATGACGCCATTTTATTGAGGGAAATATGAAAACAAATTGTACACAATTTGTAACAAATACAATTGTTTGTTCCCTAACTCTGGATAATTACAGTATATACAAATTCCATAAGGCACTGGTTCCCCAAAACAACACAAATAAGTCTTGTTGTGAAAAAAAAAAGAACTCCTCCCAAATATTGCCAACTTTTCTCTTAAAAACTATGGCATTAGTTGCTTTAACAATTAGTTCTGTTAAATTCCATTATTTTTGATGCAGCCTCTTTCATTTCCACTTTTTATGGGACTGGGGTTTTCTGAGGTGGTTGTAACCACCAAAACATATCCAAAGTTTTTCTTTTTAATGTTTTTTTCTCACTGCCTTTCCATCCACAATGAAGAACAGATGAAAACTGTGCAACTCCTGAGGAATATGAGTAACGCTAGGAACAAGAATGCCAGTCATTACTAAGTACTTGTTATCCTTGACCACACACCAATTGAAATGTGTCAAGGAATTTCCTGTAAATACAATCCAGCATGTCATCGAAGAAGCTTTCTTTTGAGGAATATCAAGAACTGGGTGTGCTGTCCAAGTCAGATATAGTGCTCACTGCTCTTCATTTGTGAGTTAACAATGTACATGCTTCCATAAATAAATATTATGTCTCATTTAGGACTTTATCATCCATAATATTTTACTCTCTAATCCACATCCTAGAGTTGTGCCAGGCTCCAGAATGAACATATTTACATAGACATCTATATTTATATAATATATACACACATACATCAACCATAAACTTGAACATACAAAGCTTATCTAAAATATTTAATAATTTAGGATTCCTTTAGGAGGGAGGAATTAGAAGGAAATCTTACTTGTTGCAAAAGTCCTGGGGGTAAGCAGCAGTCAATTATATTACTAATTTGCAGGAAGCCAAAGCAAAGGATAAAATAAATTGCATTTTTGAAATAGTAAAAGTTTAAAAATTATCATGGATTACTGGGAAGTCAACAGGTAGTACTTAACAACAACTTAGTTTTATTAATTGATTTTCATAAGATAGAAATTATATTCATAAATAAATTATAAAGTCTTATCTTGAAAATTGGTAATTGGTGGATCTTAAGGATCTCAATAATTACAAGATTTTCTTAATGAATAAATATGATTGATAATTAGCAAGTAAACTGCTGACTTTTCCCAAAGCAACAAAATGAAAAATATTAGATGAAATCTAGACACTCTTAAATTTCTCCCCATTCTTCATTGGAACCCTAGAAATCCAGTAAACTTTACATCATAAATATCTTCATTACAAAACATTCTGATTTGAAGTTGTCCATGTTTAAAATATACCAGTAAGAAAACACAGTTTGACCTAAGAGGTTCCCACAATCTCACTTAAACCTAAGAAAGATGACCTCCCCCCAAGTACCCATTTAACTAGCAAAATGCTTACTTAGACATTTGTAGATAAATCTGTCTAAAGGCAATATGATTTTTCTCCCAGGCTCAGATGACTGCCACACTTAGAAATACATGGGGGCACTGTCTGTAGCAAATAAAATTTAACAAAGAAACCACTCTTCAGTGGATCAGCTTGCACTAGCCTCAGTAAGAGCAAAATCTGAGGACCATTAAATTAACAACCACTTGTGGGTTTTTTAGTTTATTTGTTTGGTTGGTTGGTTGGTTGGTTTTGTTTTCCCAAATTCAAGAACTTCTTGAATTTAAGAAATTCTACTTAGTGGAGAACAAAACAGCAGTACCTCACAGTGAATTAGAACATAAAAGGGCTCTTGCTTCTCTTTACAGTTTTCTAAACTCCAAGTACATCTCACAGACACTGTAGCTCCAAGATTTTTTTCCACATGATCAGCCTACCAGCTGAACATCCACTCCAGATAAGATAAAACATTTTCTCATTTATCATGTTGCTGTGAATTTCCCCCAAAGTCTCCATCTTTCAGGCACCCAGTGATAAGATGTATAAGAAAGCACTGCCCCCCAGAGTATTCTGGAAGGAACGTCAAGGCAAGGAAGCATTTCAACATTCCTTAGTAACCAGGAGGCAATTTCTAATCATTATGAAAAAAGATTCATTAAGGAAACTAAATAACTGAAGTTGTGTGCCATTTTACACTTTATTATAATCCTGTTTCTAAGGAATATTGGTCTTATCAATGATTTTGCTCATTTAGTCAAAGTTAAACCCTCACAGGACTGATTAACAAGATGTATTTTTGTACCTGTGCTATAAAGGAGAAACAAAATAAGTTAATGCACATTAGAATGAATGAGTCATACCTAAGGTGTGAAAGAATCACTTAAGAGGTCCATACCAGAGCCCTATCTCCACTAGAAGAAATCACAGCAGCCATGATGCTTGATGACCTTCATCATCCTCCTCTGTTCAGGTACCTGGAGCTTGTTTTTAAGTTAAAGTTTAGTGATGTTAACTCACCAGATGCTTCCTCTCTGCCTCTTAAATCAGAGACTTAGAAAAGACAACATAAAACTACATGTATCTATATAAACTATGATGTGTCTACTTCTTACCTGTGCTTCTGCGATTGGTTCTCATGCATAAATAAGAAACAAGCCATCTATCTACACATTCAACCTCTGCCCTGCCTTATTGGCATGTTTTCCTTACAACACAAGAGCAAATCATTTCCATTTTAAAGTACCTTGTCTCTACCACACTTGTGGCGGTTTTTATTTAATATTGATCTTCTGATTTGCGGGAACAAAAGCATGCCCGTGTCGATTCCCTGCAAATGAGAAAGCTCTGCTTGTGTTTAGTGAAGGGGGGAGGGGGTACCTGAAAGAGCTGCCTATTACAAAAGAGGAGTTGTTCTGAAGAACACCCACCACCATATACTGCGATTAGTGACATAAAGCCTTCGTTTGTTCCACGCCGGCTGAAGCTGCAGGACTCCAAAGTGTGGTCCTAGGCAGGTGGGACTTGTTTGCCTGTGCTTTCACACTGCACCATAGCCCACAGCAGGGCTTCCCCGAACAGTCTAAGGTGGCTGGAGCAGGGAAGCAAGTCGGTTGAATTCTGACTTATGTTCACAGGCTGTTTGGGTTTGTACGGTGCAGGAATTTTTGCCAATGGTTAAGCATTTTGCCTTCTAGGAGAGTTGCTAGGAAGAACTTTTGTTATCATTTAAGCTATAGTTGTATAAACCTTAAAACATCTACAATATTTGTTTTATTTTGGTAAAATTAAAAGTATCTTTCTTTAAAAAAAAAAAAAAAAGTCAATCCCAAAATACAGGGCTTTCTTAGAAAGCAACATGCATCATAATTTGAACAAGTTTTCCCAAAGGTTTCCCATCCTCAGAAAGCCGTGATGAATCCATGTTTGTCCAGCTTGCTTCCTGAGGGGGGAAGTCTGAACCCACTGGGCTGTAGGACAATGTTCAAGGCTTGGGCTAATGATGCTTCTGTGAAATCATTTGCTCTGTCCACAAGTATCTGACGTCAGAGCTTAATGTCCTGGGACTCTGACATTTTGGCAAGTGTTTTCTTAACTCGCAAGGCCGTCAGCCTGGAGGCAGGATTATGAGCCCAGCATTCTGTCATAAGCTTCCCCATCTGCCTGAGACACTGAAAGAGAAAAGAATATTGGAGTGATGTTAGAAAAATGTACTCTCTATAAAGCACTCGATATTTGCCTTTTAGTTGGTGTTCATGAAGTCTGAATATATATTTTAAGGCATCAGTAAAGTATGAACGCAAAATTTCACTCACACTCTTTTTCCATGTAAAACAATCATGACTCACAGAGGTTCTCATGTATCCCTTGTGGCAAGAGAAAGCAGGAGGCTTTGCAGACAAACGGATGACTTGACCGACAGTACTTACTAAACAAACAGTGAGCCTGAGTTCTACTTTCTAATCCCAGACTGTTTACAACAAATAATATTTTATCTAATTCTGTACTGCTTAAAGAAACACAGCTATTCCTAAATCCTGGTAGTCTGCTCTAACGGTAACACTATGCTGTACCACTTAACAAGATTAATGACTTGTGTGTAGCTTTGCTAAAACTTTCTCCCGCATTTTCCAGTGGTCTATCAATCGTCCCTGCTGCAAAGCACAATTTCCCTTCATTAGAAATCATCAGTGAAGAGCCTTCCAGTGACACCAATACCCACAGCCTCCCTCAGAAGAATAACCCCAGTGCCTCCTTATGCTCTCTGTGTAGCTTATCGGAAAGCATGTACTAAGCAGCAATGCAGAGACCACACACCAGGCCAACGAACCAGTTATTTTAAAAGAATTTACATGGACACCTTACTTTACAATCAGTGCTCTATGCACCTGTCTTTGGTGGGCTCAGTACATGTTTGATAAGAGTCCTCTTTGTCTGAATGTGCTGCAAACTCATCTTGAGCTTTCCAAGGTGCCAGAGTGGGGTGAGTGAGTGGGAGAGGTAGATGGAGAGAGACTGAAGCAGAAACAAGTCTGGAGTTCAGCTCTGCTCCACTCACTTTATCTAGCCTGGCAGCAGCCTTCCCCACATATCTGAGGTTCACACTGAAGTCCTTACAATAAACAGATGTGCTCAAATTATCTCTCCGCATTCAACTTAGTGCACACACAGACACACAGTATATATTACTGGAATAAATATATACATATATATATATATATATATATATATATATATATATATATATAATTTGATAACCAATTGAAGGGCTCTTCCTTAGAAAGACTATTTTCCCACTCTCATATCCCTAAAATCAGATAGGTACAAGTAACTTTATACAGCCTGAACAGGTTGTACTTATATAGTTAAGAATACATATACGAGTGTGTGTGTTTGTGTGTGTAAAACAAGAATTTAATGGAGGCTATGACTTTGAAAGAGAGTAAGGGGGTTCATGGGAAGGGTTGGGAGAAAGAAGGAAAGAGGAAAATAATGTAATTATATTTCAATTTCAAAAAATATAAATATTTTAATTTTGTGTTGGGGTTGTGCATATGTGTGTGCACACAGCTATGAGTTCAGGTGTCCAGAGATACCAGAAGAAGGTATCGGATTGCCTGGAGCTATAGTTACAGGTGGTTGTGAGCTAGGAACCAAAATCAGGTCCCCTTAAAAAGGAGTGCCCTCTTAACCAGTGAATCATCTCTATCACCCCAAGGCCTCAGCCAGCACCATGAGCAAGGGTAGCAGAGTGCTCCTGTGTCATGTCTGCATGGAAACCCCAGTTGTCTGTTGTTTACCAAGTTCTAGAAAGAAGGTTCCAGACTTGTCATGGAGAAAAAAAAAATCACAGTGCTTCAGACGGACTCTGAAAGACTCTGATTGAGGTATTGAAGCAGAGGCTGAGACTCATAGCCAAACTTTGAGCAGGGTGCAGGGAATTTTCTGAAAGAAGGGGAAGACAAAAAGACCTAGGGAGGGGACAAGAGCTCCAAAAGGAGAGCAACAGAACAAAAAAAAAACCTGGGACCTGGGGCCCCTGCAGAGACTGATACCCCAACCAAGGACCACATGCATGGAGATAACCTAGAACCCCTGCACAAATGTAGCCTATAGACTCAGTCTCCAAATGTGTTCCCTAGTAAAGGGAGCAGGGTCTGTCTCTGGCATGAACTCAGTGACAGGCTCTCTGATCACCTCTCCCTAAGGAGTGCAGCCCTGCCAGGCCACAGAGGAAGACAATGCAGCCAGTCCTGGTGAGACCTGATAGGCTAAGGTCATATAGAAAAAGAGGAGGACCTCCCCTATCAGTAGACTAGGGGAGAGGCATAGAAGGAGAAGCGGGAGAGAAGGAGGTATTGTGAGGAGAGGAGGGAAGGGACCACAGCCGGGATACAAAGTAAATAAACTGTAATTAATAATTAATAAAATATTTTTAAAAATAGAAGAACAAAAAAATCACAGTGCTTTAAACACACAGAGAGAAAGAAACAATAGCAGCTATGCAAATGTCACAGCTGATATGTGAAATAATGTTCTCCGTTATGCAGGATCAATCTTGACCATTCACTATGCTGTGTAATTGACAAAATAAAAAAAAAATAATTAAGCAAGGAAATACAAACACTGCAATGAGACAGCATTACCGTGACCATCAAAATGAGTTTCGGCGGTGTACATTAAGAATTTTGGCAAAACAGAAGCATATTTAGAAGTCAGCCATACCCTGCCCAAGCCTGGCCTCACCTCATCGCTGCTCCATCGATTGGGGAATGAAGGCCGTAGCTTCTTGATGCACACAATTTCTCTCATGTCCTCATAAGAAGGGTCACTGGGCACCAGGTCATGATACGGAAGCTGGTATTCTTCTACTATACCTGAAGACGTGATCATCACTAAGATTATTTTCTGCGAACTGGCAAAAACATGTCTAACGCACAACTTTCCTCAACTTATATTTAAAAAAAAAACAAAAATCTTCTACCGATACCAAACACAGGCTCAGGTTAACAACAAAGTAAGTCTTAAAAAGCATTTACCCTAATGACAATTTAATTTACAAAAAGGAAAAGGAAGCCCAACAATTCATACTCTCATAGGTCCTCAAGCCACTGGCTAACTTCCAAAGTCTGGGTTCAGTAAACAAGCATCTACAATTTGCATGAGCTAGTTATCTTTCTCAAGTCTATATTAAGTCTTAGTGTAAAATTATACGACAGATCTTGAATCAATGCCACATCACAGGTAACTGCTTCTATTACTGGCATATCACAGGTTTGGAAGAGAAGCCTACTTAAACAAATGTCAGATTCATTTCTTTGTGTTTAATCATAAGAAGTTTTGCACATTCAATACTGGAACGTTGTAGATCCAAAAATACTAGTCATGACTCATCTTAGACTTTAAAATTATCAGATTTTCATTCTTCATCTTTAAATTTTCTATTTTGCTTATCTAGTCCTGTCAAAGAGCTAATTTTCCTTATAAAAATTTTTTCCATGTCCTTTAAGAAGGTAGGCTATTTTTATACGTTCTTCTTAAATTTTATCTGATGATGGCAATTCTAAGAAAGCTCTGTTCTCAAATAATGGAGACAGTTTCTGACAACTTCCCAGATTCTACCCTCAGCCACCTTTCATAAAAAGCTGTCACTGTTTATCGGAGCAGTAAAAAGCATCAAGTTATAGGATGACCTGCCACAGCATTAAGCTTGTTAGGATGATGTCATAAGCCTATCAGTAATAGGGGACCTGAAGCAGCGAGAGCACAGGTCTGAGGTCAGAGCCAGGGAGGACCACACAGAGAGTGCCGCACCAACCTGGACTGCACAGTAAAATTCTGTCTCAAAAAGCAAACATCAAATTACTAAATTTCACTGAGGATTTATTCAGGCAAAATCTGGTGGGCTGTGTTATGCTGTTACGTGTTGGTTTTTTGTTTGTTTGTTTGTTTAATCAGACTCACATAGAATATAAGGAATATAAGGGACCCAGAGAGTCAAAAACTCTTTTCAGGAAATTCAAGCTCACTGTCACCTGTGGACACCTGCTGTGACTACACAGAATTGTTACATATTTTATCTGTGCCTGTTATTCTTCTCCTGTGACTCAGTGTAACCTCAGTATACAAGGTCGTGAAATACTGGTCCCAACTCACAGGGTGGCCCCTTCATCTGAGATAAAGACAGAATCGGGGGCTGAAGATGCGGAGCAGTGGTTAAAAGCACTTGCTGCTTTTCTGTTGGACCAGAGTTGTTTTCCCAGATCCCCTGGCAAATGGCTGATCTTACTAGGAATTCTTATATTTGTGGAAAAATTATCATGAATGATGACAATATTTTGGTGCTTTAATTTCGTTTTAAATAACAACAGCAACAAAAGTGTGTTCAGGAATGGGTGTCCCACTCTGTGATGTCTCTAGGTTACCTCTGCAGAGCAAGGACAGGGAATGGAGCAGTAGGGTTGGGAATGAGGTCTGGTAGCTAGGTGAGGAGAAGCTGGAAGGGGTAGGAGAGAGAGTTAAGTTGCTAGAGCAACTGCTGGAGAAGGTCTAAGAGAGAAATGAGATGGGAGAAAGAGACATGGAGGATGCTATGTGACAAGCCAGGGGAAGCTAGCAGTGAGTCCCAAAAAGCACATTCAGTGGCCAGAGAAAGGGAAGAGGTAGCCAGTCAAGGGCAGTCCTAACCTGTCAAATATTTCCTGGAAGGATTATGACTACATCAACAGAAATAAATGGGGGGGGGGGGACGGGAGGAGAAAATCCGATACTGTATATAAAACACTAACTAATCCTTTTTGTTTGCAAACATCTCCCAGGAGCAGCTTTTCAAAGGTGTTGCTCTCTTACCTCCTGAAACACATCTCCTCGCGATCTCCCAGAGGATGAGTCCAAAGCTGTACATGTCAGCCATGATGTAAGACTGGAAGTGATTTCTGTTCAAGCTCTCATCCAGCACTTCTGGAGGCATATAGCGCTTGGTGCCAACCCGGGTATTGGGTGGGATGTCAACCTCATTTGTATCACTGAGGGAAAGTAAAACGAGCCATTGTGATCCCTGGAGAGGCCACTGTGTCTCTCTGAGCAAGCATCATTGGCAATTCAAAGGGGGAAAGCTTTCAGGGAACAAAACATTTCCTCAAAAATATTTCTTGGCAGAAATTAAACATTCACAGATTAAACATCCAGACCATATATAACTGAATGAGAATGAAGCTCCAACATATAAAATTGTATTAGCACAAAATTAAATATAGGCTGTCAGCTACTGCTAAATATCTAATAAAAGCTGTGCAGAGTAGTTTCACACATGCAGTCCAAACCCTTGGGATGTAGAGAAAGAGGATAAGGCGTTCAAGGCCAGCCTCATCTGTGTAATGAATTGGAGGCCAGCCTGACTTACATGAAACCTATCTCAAAAATAAACAGTATCAAATAAACACCCACTATGTACCTTTCTTCTCTGTATATTTAATTATTTGCTTTTATAACTGGCAAGTGCATATATCAAGTTTGGCTTAAACATCTTAATAATAGTTTATGAGGGAGGGAAAGTATGCCAGGAATAGGCTTAAAGGGAGGCTAGAAAATTTTCAGATAGAAAAGCACCACCCAGCTCACTGTATGAAGCTGATTGCTCTCAAAGAACTACTGGAGAAAAGCTTCTCTCCTTCTACTATACCTGCTGCTAAATATCATGTGAGTACAAAGGAGGTGTTCAATTGACATGGTGTCTGTGTTACAACACAGTGGTGGTTCTAACTACAAAATATTAGGGTCTAGACGGGAAAACATAAATACAAGAAAAAGGATCATTACAGGCTCTATTTATATTCAAGAGCATACAGTGAGAAAGGAATACAACAATCATCGTAAGTCAGGACACCCAGAAATGTCTCAGGAATGCTGGAGATCCATTCTGACCCCAGCTGAGGAAGAATGTTTGACAGCTCAACTCTTAGCTCCTTTATTTGGAGCTGGGAGGACTGGCAGTTGGGGAATGTGTGGTAAAAATTCATCTCTGTTGGGAACTGAAAGGCCACTGCTACCAAAGGGCACTAGCAAGATGCATCTTGACTCTTTCCCTCTCAACTGCAAAGGCAGCAGGGCCTTCTCCCACAGGCAGGTCCCGAAGGCCATTCCTTCTCCCTTTCCTTTGTCACCCTATATGCCTACATTTCTCAATAGCGTCTGTGTTAGCACGATGCAGATAATTCTGCTGGACTGCCATCAGCAAACCCAGCAATATCTTTGTTTTTTAATTTAAATTTATTTTTAAATAATTTATTCACTTTACATCCCAACTGTAGATTGTAGCCCTCTCCCTCTTCTCTTCCTGGCCCCACCCTCTCTCCTTCTTCCCTCTATCCCCCACCCCTGGTCCTCAGAAAAGGTAGCCCTCCTCCCCTATCATCTGACCCTAGCCTATCAAGTCTCACCAGGACCGCCTAGGGGAAGTGATCAAAGAGCAGGCGACAGAGTCCATCTCAGAGTCAGCCCCTGCTCCCAGCAACATCTTACGTCATTACCTGCAGCCACTGCCAGTTGCAACAGGTGTATGCAGCCCATAAAGGGACCTTCTACCACCTCCAGCTCTCTCTGTGCTCTTTCTGTTCCAGCTTCTGTTCCAGCTCCCCCCCCCCCCTCTGTTCTAGGTGCCCCCTCTCTCCCTGCCCTCATGGCTCGCCCATTGTCTCTACTCCTTTGCCAGGCCTTCGTCTTCCTTCCCACAAACTTCCTTATACTGGATGGTGTAATTTCTCAGGGGGCACACCTTGGCATGGGCCAGCCATGGTAGCACCTCCTATCATCATCATTATATACCATAACAATCTGAAGAGCAACTTTCCTATGAGTAGCAGAAAACATTTTTCCAAGAAGTATTTGAATAAGTACCTAGCAATGTAAAAATTTTAAGTTCCTGAATATCTGCCGTAGTCATTTGGTGTGGCCCTAATAACGAATGCTTCATTTCATCTTCATTCGTCACATAGCTTGCACATGGTAGGAAAAAATGAACTGGAAAGAATGAAAAAGCCCACTAACAGTAACCTTTCCCACAGATAAAGAGAATGTAAATGTAAAGTTGTTATATAAAATCCACAAAATGAATTGGAACCAATCTGCATACAGACAGATTGAATTTCTTTGGGCAAATTGATTTTTTAAAATATTACTCTTAACCTAATAGTAAATGCCTTAAGCAATACATTAAAAAAAAAAAAAAAACCAAAGATGCTAATTACAGGTAACTCCTTCTGGATGCTATCAGGGTTCATATTCTGTAAGATAAGAGCTCTGCCTCTTCTTCCCTCAGGCATGTTTCTATGGAAACTGCCAAGGATAAGGGACTTTGCTCCGAGATCAGATCGTGTCTCCAAGTAACACCAGAAGCTGTATATTCACATGACCCAGGACAAGCAGCTCAGGTTCTCCCAGCATCTCCCTACCTGTTGCAGGGCATGCCTGGCACACCCTGTCCTCTCCCCTGAATCTTCCAGCCCAGGGGTGGGGCTTCCCCTCGTTCAGAGGCTCTGCACCATATAATCCAGACATTTTGGTGCCCCACTCTCACTTGTCTCCCACCTTCTATCTGTCTTCTCTCTCCTCTTCCTTCCTTTCTTTGCTTTCCCTCTCCCCTCTCTCTGCACAAGTACTTTCTCTTCCCACATTTTTCTGCTCCCTGCCCCCACATGGGCATGTTCCTTCAGACAGGTGAACCCTCCAAAGACTGCTTCCCCCCCCCCAAAAACAAAACAAAACAACAAAAAAAAACAACTGCATTTATATTACTTGATTTTGTCTTGGATTAGCTCATTTCACCTGTGAAAAAAAAATGCTAACATATCAATGATACCTCAAACATGAAGGGAAAAAGATGATACCAATAAGCATGCTAAACTGGGCAGCCCCTGAAACCTGAACCATACACAAAGAATCAGAGCCAGCAGTGTAAAAGCTGGAAGTGGGACGGGGTGGGGGTGTCTTCCTAGGGTAGAGCACCCCAATTGGTTGTCTACTTCAAACTGTCCATCCTGAAAACATGCATACAAGTAACATTAGACAGACCCAACAGGTTACAATTAGGAACATGTATATACATATAGATAGATAGACAGATGACAGACAGATGCATGCAATAACAAGCAGTAGAAAATGGCTCAAGAAGTTGGAAGCGAGTGGGTAGGGTTTAGAGGAAAGTTCGGAAGAAGAAAAAAGAGAAGAGGGAAAATGTAGTTAAAGTATAACAAAATAAACAAACAAAAGAAAGAAAGTAATTAAGGGATATCTCTCTGACTTTCAGTAGGATCATGCCTGTTCTCAAGTAATAACAGAGGAAAAAGTAAGCTTCTATTAATCTTCAAGACCAAAAATGGAAATTCAATTGGACACTGGTATACAGAGAATAAAGAAGAAAGTGGATTCAGAAGCTGTCATACTTTTAAGAAAAGGGTAGAGAGAGGGTCAAAGAAAGGGAAAAGGGGAGCCAACAGTGTCAGGTGCCTTCAGCTTCTTCTAGCTTCCTCCTCCATGGAGGAATGCAGAACAGTGAGAAGCAGAGTTGGCAAGAAAAGATTCATATTATAAAAGAGGCGCAGAGGAGGAGAGAACCCCACTGAGCAACCGCAAGTGTTGTAGAGGCTGCATGTGAGTTATCAAAGCATAAGAGTGTCCACAGGAAATATAAACAGGGTATTGGTTACTCCAGGAGACATAAAAAGGAATTAAACATGAAAGAGAACAAGTGTTTTAAGATATGTGAGGGATTACATGCTAAGCAACAGGTTGGGTACAAGCAGGTTTATTTGGGGAGAAGGGAAGGGGAAAGGAGTTAGTACCTAAGTGAACCATGAGGGCAGAGGGAGAAAGAGACAGAGACAGACCAAGAGAAATAGAGCGAAAGAGAGAGACAGAGAGACAGAGACCCTGGCGGACCCTTTATATCCAGCACACACCAGCCACACACCTGGCAGCCCCTGGTGCCTGGAGGCTAGTGGGAATGCCAGTAGGGAGGCTAGCAGGACGGACTGTGTGCTAACAACAAGACTGTATTCTGTTAAAAAGCCTCCAGAAAATGAGGCAAGCTGTTATCATTTGTTAATAGTCAGCTGTAACACAACTGCCCTTTGAAATGCTGTGTATGTATATATGTCTATATATATATATAGACATATATATATATGTCATAAATATACATCATTAAATATACCATAACTCTATTTAATATGACTCGGCAGGATCAATGACTGGAAATGCTATATTTCAAGGACTAGGAATGAGCTACAGGTATAAGATCCTGAAATTCAAAAGTCATTTATAAACTGGATAAAATTAGAAGAAAAAAAAAAAGAATTTCTGGTAAGAACTAAAAACGCTCTGTCATAAATGTCAGTTCTGCATTAAATATCAAGGAAATTGAACTCTTTATGCTTCTCATGAAGAAAGGGGGGGCGGTTCTCTTTTGGATGGAGAGGAAGTGGGTTAATATCCAGAGTCTGGTGGCAGAGGCAGAGAACTACAAAAATAGACTGTCTCCCTCCTTTATAATTTCATAATTAATATTCCCAGGAGACTCAACCAGGCTTTTGTTCTCCTTAATGTGTGTGCCAAGGAGTTACAAAGTTAAGTTGTATTAGAAAATAAATGTAATTCGAGGGTTACTAATATTTGCAAAAACTATGGCTCTCATCATAAAGGAAACAAAGGGTAGTCTATTCATTTTTAGTGACAATGGCCTCAGAACAAAGATTTAGGCTGCCCCAAATTCCATGTTCCAATGTGGACAAGGTTTCATGAAGTGTTGCGGGTTTTGCAGAACAAAGAAAGGCATAAATCAAGGCAAGTTTAAAATACAGCAGTGGGTACATCAAAGAGACAGTTACAGCAAGACTCGGGAAGCCTTTCTATGGGTGTCTGAGACATGTAAAGTGGGTCTGCCACAGGGGAAATGGGCCCCTGAGAACCCGGACAGGCTGGGCCAGATAGGAATGCAGAGGATAGGGATGAGTTTTATTTTATTTAAACA